TTCTACCCAAAGCCCAGGTGTGGCACATTCTACCCAAAGCCCAGGTGTGGTACATTCTACCCAAAGCCCAGGTGTGGCACATCCCACCCAAAGCCCCAGCAAAGTACTTGCCTGAGTTTTCCTTGGCAGATTGCAGCAACAAACGCTCTGTCTCTAATTCACTTCTGAGTCTACAACCAGAGGGCAGAAAACAGTGAAACTTCGGTTTGTACCTTTGTTCTTTTGATGATTTTTCACAAGTCTCTTTGTTTCTTTTTTTAACAAGAGATAAACCTGATCTGTTTAGTTCCCAGTCAAGGAGGAGGAAATCTAAAGATGTATATAAATCAGGAGTCTAAGTGAGCCAAGTAAAATAAACAAAAGGATCATTTCTTACCAAGACTGCACGGACCACTAGTTAAAGGAGAAGTCTAATCTAAAATAATCTATTCCTCTAGTGTTTACTGGTATTATTTTATGATTCACGTCTCTAAGAAGAAAGAAGGTGAAGAATCTGGTGTTTTATATCCTGCAGACAAAAAATAAACTGGCAGAACCGTGGAAGGCCCCTGATTGTTGAACATACTGTGCTTTTTTTCCCCCCTGAGCTTTGTGGCTCCTTCCCATAGGTATAAATTCCACCATGTTTGGACTAAAAACAATATGCAAAAATTTTAAGTGAGAAAAATTGTAAACTTTTTTATCTTCTTGATTCAAACACAGTTAAGTAGACTAATCCTATTTCTAAGAGCTTTGGTGGCCGAGAGGGTTACATGTGCTCCGCTGCTAAGGTCAGCAGTTCAAACCCACCAGTCGCTCTACAGAAGAAAGATGAGACTTTCTGCCTCCATAGGAGTTACGGTCCTGGAAACCCACAGGAGCAGGTCTGGCCGTGCTGCTGTTCCTAGGTGTCACTCAGTCTGCTGCGACCCACGGTGACCTTGTGCACAGCAGAAGGGAACACTGCCCTGCCCCCTGGGCCATCCTCACAATCGATCCTGTGCCTGAGTCCACTGTTGCAGCCACGGTGTCCCTCCATCTCCTCTATGGCCTTCCTCTTTCCCCTGCCCCTCCACTTGACCGGGCATGACGTCCTTCTCCAGGCACCGGTCTCTCCTGACAGCATGTCCGAAGTATGTGAACGAAGGCTTCCCCTGGGGTCACTAGAAGTCAGAATTGACTCTATTCTGGGTTGGTTTTGGTTTTTTAATCCTATTTTTAATAGAGTTAGATAATAAAGGGAGGATCTAATGTGGTATTGAGGGGCTCTGGTAGAGCTGCTCATCGACAGGGTGGTGGTTCAAATCCAACCAGGGGCTCCACAGAGGAAAGAACTGGCCCGTGTTTTCGCATAAAGACTATAGTCTAGAAAAACTATGGGGCAGCGCTATCTGGCTGCCTGGAATTGCTATGAGTTGAAGTTGGGTTGATGTCACCTGATAACAGCAAGGTATTGCACCTACTGAGGTAAGTGCTATGTGTGCTTGAACCAGAAAAATCCCAAACAGCACCAATCAATTAGTGCCACATATCTGCAAGGAGTCTAATGGTTTCAGAACAAATGCAGATATATTAGCTCACTTTTTCACAGGTTAAAAGAGAAAGGTATTATGACCTCCATTTTAAGGAACCGAGGGAATGATAGGTTGATGATAATGATCATAGCCTTTTTAATGAGTAAAAGCAGAGGGCATCACTTCCAGAAAACGTCTGTATATTGGAGTTTTTTTTTTTTTT